GATATAATTACTTTTTTATGTTCTCCACAGTAAAGTGACCTTTTGTTGTTTTGGATGCGCTGCACGGCATGTGGGATCTTAATTCCCCAACCAGGGATCGAATCTGCGCCCCCTGCCTTGGAAGTGCGGAGGCCTAACCACGGGACCGCCGGGGAGTCCCTAAAGTGACCTTTTAGCTCTTTACAGTAAAGCCAGTGCTTTGGACTTGTGGATTTGCTGGCATTAACATGTAGAGGAAGTGTAAAACACGACGGTAGTTCTGTACAGGGCAGCAAGAGCATCAGGTCTCGTCCCCTTTCCTGTGGGCTGATTCCATGTTCTGGAACCAAGCGGGGCTGGCACTTGCCGGGTGCTGCAATGGAGAGGGGACAGGGAGGGGGCTGAGCTGCCTATGCTGCTTGCATGAACTTCCCAGGCCCCAGCCTGTTGTCACCACATGGCCTAGAGCTGCCCCCCCTCGGTGGACTGACATCAGGGTGTTCCCTGCGCACAGGGGACCAGCGATGCTATCCCAGAGAAATTTCTAAAATGAAAGTAAAGACGCTGATGGTTTAGAGAAATAGATAAGGTTCTGCTGACCGGCCGATGCAGGAAGGAAGGTCTCCTTGCGTCTGGGGTTTTAACATCAGCACGTTTTCTTTTAATAAGTAGCTGGCGAAGAAGAAAGGAAGCGAAGTCAATAAAGTTTGGCCTCCATCACCGCTCCCCGCCCCTCCTCCCAGCCTGCTTTGCTGCTTTTCGTTTCCCTTGGGTCGGGGTGCTCTCCGTGAGAGGGAAAGGATTGTTCAGTGCTAATGGGAGCTGAGACGCCTGTTTCTCCCTTTGCTCCCACCCGCAATCCAGGGCATTCTCGCTAAAACATTTAAATTATGTCCTGTGGATTAACTAAAGACCTTTCTCACGTGCGTTGTCAAATGGCACGTCCGTTTGGAAGTTTTGGGGTCAGTGATTTAAGTTCCAAGATAATAGCTACAGACCTGGAAATCAAGTTTACATTGTGTCTTCCCTCCTTTTGCTGAAATCAGGCCGTTCTGGCTCAGCAGTTAGGTCCTCGTTTGTTGTTCAGATGTGGCGGGGAGGGAAGGAGAACTTTTCCTGTGATGTTGAAGGTGCGGGGTGGGGGTGGGGGGTTCTGAACAGCAGGAACGCCCCCACTTCGGGCGGGAGCTCCTTTCTGCCCCAGGTGTGTAAGGAGAAGAGCAGCCAGTAAATTCCCAGCCGCACCCAGACACGCGCAGGATCCTCAGGATGGCCAAACGATAAACATCTCCATCGTGACTCGATTAATAGCCATGTGCCAAAAATCCAGAGATGCTACAACCCTGTGGCTGACGGGCTGGAATAATACTTGATCGCGAGCTGAGGGCTGTCTCGGGGGGAAGGCTGGTCCCCGTCAGACGCCTGAGCATTCTCCGCTGAGCCCATTTTGGGGGAGAATGTGACCCCGACGGCTGAGGATCAGGGAGGCGGACCAGTGTGGATAACCGAAGCTCGTAGCTTGAGGCTGACGCAGGGCAGCCACCTCATTAAGGAAGGAAATGGAGGGAAAGATTGGGTTTTGGCAGCAATTAACTCTGCAGAATCCCCTGAGTTTGAGATGCCTGTGGGTCACTCATGCAGTTCCCTCTCGAAGGTATGAAATAATTACCCAGGTTATCGAGGCATAGATTTGGCATCGTGAATTGAAACCATGGGGAATAGAAGGGCTTGCTTAGGGAGAAGTAGAAAGCAAAGAGAGAAGATAACCAGGGCTGGATTCCCAACACAGAGGCATCTTAGGAGTGGCCTGAAGAGCAGAGCTTGGCAAAGAGGACTGAAGATCTGACCAAGATAGAAACCAGGGGGCTGGAGACAGAGGCTTCCAGAAGCCGGAGAACAGAGTGCCAGGACTTTGGGCGCAGCTACGCAAGAGAGAGTGACCAGGAGCAGAAGTGACAATACGTGCTTGCTTCGGTGGATTAGGTTAAGGCTAAACTTGCACAGAACCAATTCAGGGAGTGGTGAGGGGAGAATCCATATTTTAATTAGAGGAGAAGTGAATAGTAATTAAAGCCATCAGCCAACTTGTTTGTTTTGGCAGCTAAGAGGAAGCAAAAGGATTAAGGGATTCTGCATTGCGGTGGAAGAGAATGCAATAGGTAAAGAAAGCCAGCTCTAGGGGAGACGTAGAAGACCCTGGCAGGGGCTGGGAGCATCATGGGTACCGTCGCTCCTTTTATTTTATTTTATTATTATTTTTAAAAATTTATTTATTTATTTATGGCTGCGTTGGGTCTTCGTTGCTGCGTGCAGGCTTTCTCTAGGTTGCGGCGAGCAGGGGCTACTCTTCGTTGCGGTGCGCGGGCTTCTCATTGCCGTGGCTTCTCTTGTTGCGGAGCACGGGCTGTAGGCACATGGGCTTCAGTAGTTGTGGCACGTGGGCTCAATAGTTGTGGCTCGCGGGGTCTAGGGCGCAGGCTCAGTAGTTGTGGCGCACGGACTTAGTTGCTCGGCGGCATGTGGGATCTTCCTGGACCAGGGCTCGAACCCGTGTCCCCTGCATCGGCAGGCGGATTCTTAACCACTGTGCCACCAGGGACGTCTGTTCCTTTTATATTAGAGGAACTTTAATTCCCTAATGGGTCTGGGTGCCCGTCTCCCCTGTGATGTAATTCACAGCGTATGCTCAGTTAGAACCAGTGGAATATATGGTGCTGTCACTGCCTGGTTGGGGGTGGAGCTGGGAGCTAGGGGAGGAGCCAGCCCCCCTGTTTTGATGGGCCCTGAGTATTCTACGCCCTGGGCTGCTTCATGAAGTGGCCTTCCTCCCTGCCTTCCTCTCCCCATCCTGAGATCCTTGCTGCATCAGAGGTTGAGCTGGCAGTTATGGGAAGCTCCAAATGCCGAGAGGGGGTCACTGCTCCCGGTGCTGGAGGCATAGGGCGGTGGCATCTCTGGGTGTAAATCATCACCCTCCGCAGGTGTTTTATTCCGCTCGGAGTACCTTTCACTTCCGTGCCCAGATTTGTACCTTTTTTCAGTCTGATTCTTCCTTTTCCTTCAAGTTGGCTCTGGCTCTCCTGAACAGTTGGTTTGAAGATATTAGCCAGGTTTGTCGTTGAAAATCATGTTGTTGTTTTTTGTTTGTTTGTTTGTTTGCGGTACGCGGGCCTCTCACTGTTGCGGCCTCTCCCGTTGCGGAGCACAGGCTCCGGACGCGCAGGCTCAGCGGCCATGGCTCACGGGCCCAGCCGCTCCGCGGCACGTGGGATCTTCCCGGACCAGGGCACGAACCCGCGTCCCCTGCATCGGCAGGCGGACTCTCAACCACTGCGCCACTAGGAAAGCCCGAAAATCATGTTTTAATTTTCTCTGGGAAATTCAGCGGGTAAACTGGCAGATGTGCACGGGTATTGCGGTTAGAGGTTGTATAGGCTGGGCTCCTGGGCTCAGGTACAAGCTCCCGCCTCGTGACCACTGACATTAGACACGCTGCTTCCTTTCTTTGTGCCTCAGTATTTAGCTGTTTAATGGGGGTGATGGTGGCACCTGGTCACAGTGCCGCCACGAGGATTCAGTGATGTAATGCACCCAGCACTGTAACCAGTGCTCAGTAATCACCAGCTACCATTATTATTATTATTTTTCTCACTGCCGTTCAAGCCCCTGGACTATCAACATCAGATACAGCCTGGAGCCAGAGAGAGATAAATATATACCCAAACGCTCTGTTAAAAGTGCCCACATCCACATACCCTGAGAAAACCATAATTCAAAACGATACATGCACCACAGTGTTCATTGCAGCTCTATTTACAATAACCAGGACATGGAAGCAGCCTAAATGCCCATCAACAGAGGAATGGATGAAGAAGATGTGGCACATATATACAACGGAATATTACTCAGCCATAAAAAGGAACGAAATTGAGTTACCTGTAGTGAGGTGGATGGACCTAGAGTCTGTCATACAGAGTGAAGTAAGTCAGAAAGAGAATAATACCGTATCCTAACGCACATTTAGAATCTAAAAAAACGGTACTGATGAACCTAGTGGCAGGAATAAAGACGCAGACGTAGAGAGTGGACTCGGGGACACAAGGGGGTGAAGGGGAAGCTGGGATGAAGTGAGAGAGTGGCACGGACATATATACACTACCAAATGTAAAATAGATAGCTAGTGGGAAGCAGCTGCATAGCACAGGGAGGTCAGCTCGGTGCTTTGTGACCACCTAGAGGGGTGGGAGGGAGACACAAGAGGGAGGGGTTATGGGGATACACGTATACATATGGCTGATTCACCTTGTTGTACAGTAACAAATAGAAACTAACACAACACTGTAAAGCAATTATACTCCAGTAAAGGTATAAAAAAAAAAAAAAGTGCCCACAGCTTTGTCATCTACCATCCAGGATATATAGGGGACCCCTGACCTGTCTCTGAACCTGGGACTCCCATCTTGCCCTCTTCTGGGTCATTCTCCCCATACCTACCTCCGTGCATGGGTCTCCTGCACTTCCTCAATTATATTTTTCTCTTCCCAAGGGCTTTTCACACAGCCCTTTGTCTGTATCAGACTAAGGGCTCTTGAGAGCCGAAACCTCGATTTTGAGGCTAAGTCTTGCTTCTTACAAGTGTCTGTTAGTCACAATCTGTAAGGAAGAATCAGTTTCATCAGCTTGTTACTGCAAGTCATCTCCACGCTATTCTCATGCTGAGAAAATCACCCAAGTGGGGATGGGAAAAGGAATGTAAAATGAGACCAAATTAAAATGAACAGAAAATGGCTCTTCCGTATCTCTTTCAAAGCACAGGTGGAATTCTTTGTCTGCAAAATGACTGGGGTAATTTCAAAGTCTCCTTCTGGCACTAACGTTCTGTGACACACAGAGAAGGGAGAGGTACAAATAGGTGATTGGAAAGGAAGACATAAATGTTGATACTTTGTCATCTGGGGCTGGCACACTTTCTGGTCATGTTTTCACTGCTAACACTTTGGTTTCCAATGCTTTGCTCGCAGGGAAGGCCGCTCGAATGCGCACATCAGAGGAGATTACCAAAGAATTGGAGATGTGATGCTGAAGAACATTCAGGGCATGAAGGTGAGCTGCTTGGGGATTTGGGAGAGAGAGTTCCCCAGGGAAAATGATGCTGAGGCTGCCAGAGGCCTTGTTTGTGATCCTTGCCCGTGAACACGTGGCCTGATTCGAGTCTGCATGTAGCGCAGCCCCGGGGGAAACTCTTCCGTCTCCTCTAGATAGTTTTATTTGGAAGCATAAAGAAAGATCCAGCCACTTTGGGGGAAGCACTTTCCGTTCTTTTCCTCTTCCAGAGCTCTGTGTTGTAACCAAAACACCAGGTATTTTCTGTGACTAAGTCATTCGAAACTTGTTTTTAAAAATTATGTAGACAAAACATTGGTTGACTGAGCATTTCACTTTTAGTCAGTTGTTTTGACTTCTTGCGGGTGTGACAAAGATATTGGATTCGGAGCTGTGTAGGAATTCCAGTCAATTCTGTGGCTTTCAGTTGGTTTATAAGGTGAATATATTTTTAACCATCCAGCAGTATCTACAATGATCCAAAAGAGCAAAAGTCTCCCCAGAGAAGTCAGTACATAGTGAACCAATATTCTGCCTCGTGTTTGAAATCTGCCCCACCTCTTACATCTGAAATTTTCATTTTTGCCTTTTCATTTTAATCCATTAATCATTCCTTTAATATGGAATGTTTTAATTCACATAATTTATCTTTTGAATACAAATACATCTATATTTGCATTTTAAAGCAATCTTTCTATATCTCAACCACCCATAGAGCCTTCCTAATAACCTTAACTAATAACTAAGAGCAAGCTTGTAACCCCCCAAAGAGGGCAGGTTGCTTGTACTGCCACCATGCAGCCCATCCAACCATCCGTCTGTGTGTCCACCCACAGGCCATGCATACTAGCTGAGCACCTATAACGTCTAAGGCACTCATAGAATCAAAGTTATTGTTGAGGTTTGAATTAACTCCTAAGAATCTAAGTTGTTCGTGTTCGATTTGTTCCTCTTAGAATCGTGTCTCCTGAGATAGGACAGTGGAGGCAGAGGAACGGGGCAAGGGGATGCAGAAAAGATAGGATCTGAAACTACTCGAGGGATTTCCTGTTGCTCTTAACAAGTTCAAGATATTATTTAACAGACCTGGAGCCTATTGCTCGCTTTTTCCTGGTGTTCAAAAAGCAACACTCCCCACTTTGGGCTGTACCAGAGAGAGGCCACGGAAGCCAGCAGGACTGCAGAATCCTATACGAAAAAAAGCGAAGAGTCATCTAAGGTGTTCCATGACAATAGTATTTTTAATGCCCTAAGTAAGGTGGATATACAAAACTCAGATGGAACAGTAACGGACATCTTTTCACTTTCCATGGTGGTTTTTATTATTTTATTTTTTAGAGCAATTTTAGGTTTACAGAAAAATTGAGCAGAAAACTCACACGGAGGTTCCATATTCTCGACACACACACACACACACACACACACTCTCTCTCTCTCTCTCTCTCTCTCTCTCTCTCTCTCTCTCTCCCCCCCCCCCCCCCCCCCCCCCCAGTATTAACATCTTGCCCTGGTGTGGGGTGTTTGTTACAACCGATGAGCCAGTATTGATATATTATTATTAACTAAATCTGTAGTTTACATTCGGGTTCACTCTTCGTGTCTTACATTCCATGGGTTTCGCTAAGGGTGTAACGTCACTAACCCACCGTGACAGCATCACACAGGACAGTGTCACTGCCCTAAAAACCCTCCGTGCTCCACCCATCATACCTTCCCTCCCCCAGCCCCTGCAGACCACTCATCTTTTACCATCTCCATAGTCTTTTCCAGAATGTTACATAGTTGGAGTCACCCAGTGTAGCCTTTTCAGACTGGCTTTTCTCACTTGATAAAAATAGCCTTTTTTCTCTCTTCTATAACACGTTTCTGTTACTGTTGTACTTCCTAACTTTCCTCATAGAAAGCCTCTCTCCCCACGTTCTGCACTTTTTTTCTTGGCCCAGTTTGGTTTTTACCTTTTCTCATGGTGCTGCCTTCTGCCTGCCTGGGATGGGGGCTTCCAGCTGAGGCTTGGGCTCCTCCATGGACTTCGGAGCAGTGGCAGACACCTGCCAGCTCGGTCCCCGCCCCCTTGGGACAGCCCCAGAGTTCTGTTTGCCACCTCCCCTCATGTCCCTCTGGCGGAAGGGTGCCCTACGGTAGACATCCGTCCTCCTCTCTGGTCACCTAGCACCTAAGCCCTCCTAAAAATAGACCTGATTTCCGCCCAGGGCAATTCTTTCCCCGTCAGTCTAGCGAGTTGGCATTTTTGCACGTAGTCGGCTAACCCTCGGCTGCCCTGGCGTTTTAACCATTGTGCCGGTGCCACCAGCATTTGTAGCATGGACTCTGTGCAGGCAGAATAGAAATAGATGGAGAGGCTCGGAGAGCCTCTGGCAGCCTTTTGGAGAAATTGGGTTGTTTTTTTATTGTGGTTGTTATTGTCGGTTTTAAAGAATTTTTATGAAGGGTGGAGGGGAACAGCAGAAGGTTCTGGACATGTAGAAGCCCAGGTTGGCACTTTTGTCCAAAATGCTTCGGGTGAGCTCCAACTTGCAGTGTCTTTCCCCCTCATCCCCCCACCTGTGCATTTACCTGCACATGTTCAGGGGCTCAGCAGGGATGCTGACATCACCCTGCAGCTGTCCCCAGACCCTCCGCGCGGGACCGAGGGAGCCGGTCAGGGGCTCCAATCCCTGCCTAAAAGTCAGAGGCTATCCAGATGATGATCTCTAGCCCGGGGTGTGAACTTTCAACTGGAAACATCTGCCCAGATGCCCAAAGGCATTTCACAGTCCACACAGGCCAAGGAGGCCCTCGCCTTTTACCTGGACCCTTCCCCTGCCGGTCAGGCTGTGACCTTCCCTCCCGGGCCCTGTCTTCCCGAGCTTCTACCGCCTGCCCCCTCTCCTCCTTCACCCTTCCGCTTCCCTCCCATCGCCTCTCAGTTCTCCTTCCCATCTGACTCACCAGCTGCCTCTCGTCCACCCGTCCTCCCCAACCACCATTGATATCGTAGACCGACTAGGCTCCAAACCCGCCTGGCCTCTCTGTGGTTTAGAGAATACAGTCCAAGCTCTAAACCTGACCGAGGAAGCCTTCTCTAGATGACCTTTCACCTTCCACCTCCCGTCCTTCACATTCTACTCTGTGCTCCAATGACCTTGAATCCACCTCTCCAGGCACTCGGGGCCTTGCAAGACCCCTTTCTGAGCGGGGTGCATGCATTGGTTCGTTTGCTTATTAATGCATGCAGGCAGCAGACATCTGTGGAGCACCTATGGTGTATATCAGGCCCCAAGGATGTAGTGACAGGACAGACGCACTCTCTCAAATAAGGGACTGCACGTGTGAAAACACTGCATAGAGCTACACGCACGCACACCCATGCCACATACTTACATGTGCACGTGCACACACACAAGTGAGGGCGTGTATAACTGGCAGAATCCAAATAAACTCTGGTTTGTCCCAGTGTCAACGTCCTGGTTGGGATATTGTGCTGTAGTTAGGCAAGATGTGAGCGTTAGGGGAAGCCGACTGAAGCGTACGCCCCCCGTACTTGTCTTTGCAACTTCCTATGAATCTATATATGTTTTTTTAAAGTCACAAAGTCAGCAGGGAGACCACGTGATAAAGGCTAAGATGGACAATAAGCCCAGGAGGAAAGGGAGAGCAGGGAAGGCCCCAGAGCTGGCCCTGAAGGATGGAGGTGGGTGGGGGGGGCTGAGGGGGGTGTGTCTTAGGAGCAGAGCGCCCTGTGCCAAGGTTCTGGGTGCCAGGGCCCGGCACATTCAAGGGCAGGTTGTTCAATGGGTGTCCAGAGCGAGTAGCAAGAGGCCATGTTGGAGAGGCAGAAGGGGTTACATGCTAAGGGCCCCATGTGCCCTAACGACAACTCTGGAGTTTGTCCTGAGAGGGTGGACGTTCTTGTCGCATTCCAAGCAAGAGACGATGTGCGCATTTGCATTGGTGTAAGTTCCTTTTGGTGGCACTCGAAAGTCAGGTGTCAGGAGTGGAGACAGAGACCCCAATGGAGACACCATTGCAGTGGCCAAAACAAGGGCAGTGACCATGGGGTGAAGCCAGGAACAGGCTTGCTGTTTTTAGCAGGTAGAGTTGGCGGGACTTGGTGAAGGATTCAGAAAATGAGGGGATCTGGAATCTTACCCAGGTTTTCTGCCCTGAGTAGGCGGTTGGTGGCGGCACCCATCCTGGGGTTAGAGGGTCACGGGGCGGCCTCAGTTGCCGCAGGGGGTGTTGGGTTGGTGTCTGGACTCACTGCGCTTCCCGCTCTTTGCGGAGCGTGGGAACGGAGGTGCCGGGATGGGGAATCCAGGTGTGGGAGTTAGCAGCACACGGACAGTGAGCCCCCTCTGGGAAGTACTGATGGGGTAAGACGTGAGGACGACAGCTGCTTGGGGAGTTAATTCCTCCTGAACGCTCTGTCAAACTTGTTGCCCCACGTCTGTCTCCACCACCACCTGTTCAAGGAAAGCGATATTCGACAGCACTTGTTAAAGACGGTAGAGCAGACTATTCAGGGCCGTTGCCATAGGTGTGGGGACACTGCAGTGGGATTTTACAGTGGGAGAGGGATTGGCCTCAGCTCCAAGTGCACCGGGGGCAAGTGGAGATCTACAGCCAAGGAGCAGGGCGGGGCTCAGAGGATGGGAAATTTCTGTGACAAAACATCACGGTCATGAGGGGGGGACTCTGGCTGAACCGACTTAACAGGATTCTTTGCCGAAGACAAGTGGGGTGCTCAGGCATCACCTGGGGGGGGATGCAGACCCCAGTGTCAAGGGTGACCAGGTATCCAGGGTGGAGGGTCCTGGTTGAACTGACTTAGCAGGTTTCTCACCGAAACGGGATTGTACAAGGAAGGGCACAGGCTGGCCTGGGAGAAGCTTCAGGAGGCTGACAAAAGTTTGCTCAGGCAAAGGATCTCGGTCAGACCCCAGTAGAGAAGGACTGCGTCTCACTCCTGTCCGCTCCCCGGAATCCAGCAGAGCAGGATATGCTCAATTATTACATGAGCAAATTGTGGGGGGGGGAGTTAAACAGAAATACGTAGTTTTAACTATATGACGTTTATTCAGTGGCCCTGGCCTATTTGTCGTTTTTTGATGTTTAGGAGAAAACCCCAAGCCCCCTGAAGGAGCTCCCATTGTTTTATTTCCCCTCAGTTTTGCCAGTCTTCTTTTAAAAGGACATGTATACCTCTGATGTTATATATACATCTCAAATATTTTATAATCCCTGCGTATTTTAAACTGCGCAATGCTTTAATAGAGCGTTTTATTCCATCCTGAGAAGTTAAATAGTGAAATATTAAAAACATGAAATTAAGTAAATGGAATGAAGTAATGAAAGCGAAGGTGATCTCTTTTCAGTGTTAAAATGGGTGGACCATGTGGCTGAGCAGGACTCCGTCCCTCCCCCCTCTTCCCCCTCCCCCCTTCCCCCTTTTGTCTCCCCGGCTCCCTGCCCCACCCGCTCCCGTGTCTCGCCCACCAGCAACTGGCGGCGCATCTGTGGAAGCACAGCGAGGCTCTGGAGGCGCTGGAGACCGGCATCCGGGGCTCCCGGCGGCTGGAGAGCTTGTGCCGAGACTTCGAGCTGCAGAAGGTGTGCTACCTGTCGCTCAACACCTTCCTCCTGCGCCCGCTGCACCGGCTAATGCACTACAAGCAGGTCCTGGAGCGGCTGTGCAAGCACCACCCGCCCAGCCACGCCGACTTCAGGGACTGCCGGGGTGAGTGCTTGGGGGGGCGGGGTGTCTCGGGGATACTGTGTCCCAAGAGGGGCAGATGCGCTTTTTAGGACCTGGTCAAATATTTTCTGTCCCTTTTTGGTCTTTCACGTAAAGAAGGCGGTAGTGATCACCATGGCTTCTCTTTTCCATCCCCTCTTGCATGCATTTTCTCCTTCCATCCTGCCTGGTTTAGTGCACAGAACCCTGGAGAAGCTCCACTTAGAGTCAGCCCCTTACAGGAAGCTTTCCTCTACCTCCATGGTGGAAACTCATCACCTCCCCTTGGATGGGCCACAGAAAACGGCTAGTAATAAATACTGTTCCTCATTGCTGCGGGGCGTTTGTAAGGTCACCCCAATAAGCGTTTCACCTGTGTTAACTCTCAATCTTAACAAGAAGCCTATGAGACCGTTGTGAGCTCATTTTACATATGGGGGCTACTGAGACCAGAGAAGTTAAGGAACCTGCCCAGAGTCACACAGCTGGAAAGTAAAGGACATGTAGCCTAGACCCAGAACCCATGTTCTCGACCATCCTACCCTCCCTACTGGCTCATGATGATATTACTCACTGTTCCTCGCTCAGCACCTGGGCCAGGTACTCTGCCAGGTATCTTTCTTACGCTAACACCTTTAATCCTTTAACAACCCCATGAGAGAACTGTTGTTATCCCATTTTATAGATAAGAATACTGAGGCTCAGAGGGGGTGAAGGACTTGTGAGTGTCACTCAGCTGGCAAAAGAGCAGAGCTGGCATTCCAGACCATGCTTTTCCCACTGGGCCACGCATCGTCTTTTTGAACCTGTGTCCTCTGCCTCGCGTTGCATGTGGTCTGTTACTGTCCACGCTCCCTGGCTTGGACCTGCAGCCCCTTGGGGGCCAGGCCCTGAGGCCTGTTGCTGGGTCCCCTGCACTCTGCAGCCAGTCCATGCACAGAATGCACCCTCCGCAGGTGGCTCTTGACAGATAACATGAATTCGCACACCCGTTAGTATGTCAAGACCAGTGTCTCTTGCCTAAAGTATTATAAACTTAATCTTAGTTTTTAGAAAGACAACCAAAGAAAAGATGTGTCAGAGTAGTTAAGACATTGGCAGTTCACGGAAGGGCAACAGAAATGGCTCAAGGCGTGGTTTTGGCTTGCTTTGGTTGGCAGTCTTTGAAACAGACCATGCTGCCCCCTGCCTTGTGCCTTAGTATATTCTGTTCCTTCTGCTGGGACTCCTTGCCACCACCTCCTGGTCCTTTCCCTGGGACAGTCCTCTTTTAAGGCTTAATCTGTGCCTCACCCTCAAGGCTGGGTGACCCCCCCCCCATCTGCCTTGTCCTGCCGTATTGGCAGTCCCGCTTGGCTGTGCCTGGATGAGATGACCTAGGGCCCTTCCCAGCTCCCAGGACTCAGACCTGCGTAGATCTCTTACTCGTGAGGGCGAGGGAGAGGGACGTGAGGGCAAGGGAGAGGGATGTCTCTAGTTTTGCACGTGCTATTCTCAGGCCAACTTGCCTAGTTTTGCATTTTACTATTATGCTAAAGAGTCTCCATTGAGAGAAGTCTGTTCTTCACAATTAAATGGCAAAAATGTCTGTTCCCTAGCTGAAAACGTAAGGTGGCATCATTGTAGAAAGACTGGGCAAATCGAGGAATATCTGAACGTAGATTTCCTGAACGTGAGGGATGCGGAGAGCCAAGAGCTGTTCTAGAATGCGTCTGGGGCCAGGCTGCCATCCGTTTTCCTCTTAGAGCTTCTGCACGCCCACCGCACTAAACATTCAGTGCCCGGGAATTGTTTGTTGGACTAAATCGGCTGGTCATGTCTAAAGACAGAGCAAGCTCTGGGTTTGTCACTATGGCTGAGACAAGAAGCATTCTGTGATAAGAAGCCAGGAAGCATTTCGTTTGCATCCCCAGGGAGACAGCCAAAAACAAGGAATGCTTCCTGCCACAGTTGAGGTGCTGGGGGCGGAGGCGGTGTTTACTGTCCTGAAGATCGAAGTTCAGTGGACAAATGTTTCTTGCTTTCCCTTGACAAACAGACCAAAATGCTCAGCTACTATGGATGTGCCTGCCACCCAAACCCGTGCTAACAGGGCACCAGCTCCTTTTCCTTATTGGACGCCCGTCGGTATAGGGGAGATGTGCCCACATTGGGAAATTTAGTTTGCAGCTGTTTTTTACAACCATTTTATAAACACCATAAATGTCTGCAGAAGGAAGAACCAGGGTGTGTTGGAATGTTCATTACCCAAAAGTGTTGCACTACCAGTTAGACCCTTTGCCAGAAAGATCCCTCCTTTGCCCTAGATTTTTCTATGGCTTTTCTGTGCTCTCTTTGCTCTGTTCTTTCCCGGTAACAGGGAAGGGAGGGAAATCTCTGCCGCTGGGACAGAATTCCAGGCACTCTTATTCCCTTGCTGCTGCCCCTTTATGACAACAAGTGATTCTAACTGAAGGACAGCTGTACACCACCAAGCTTGAAGGGGGCATTGATGTTTTCAAGATGGCTTTGGGGAAACTAAAGCAAAGCCAATCGATACATAAAGTAAATCACTCAATTTTTATTATTGAGAATTAGCAGTGTTTTCCCTAGAAGCATGGCTTCGTTATAGTTCAGCTACAGGAGGATATTACCCTGGAGAACTGATCTTAAAGATATTGGGGGAAAAAATGACCCACGTCTGCCATGAATGCTGCAGCTTTTGTGTCCGTCTCCTTCCTTAGCTGCTTTGGCAGAGATCACGGAAATGGTGGCCCAGCTTCACGGTACGATGATCAAGATGGAGAATTTCCAGAAGCTGCATGAACTCAAGAAAGATTTGATTGGCGTTGACAATCTTGTGATTCCAGGAAGGGTAAGCAGCTGTGCTCTCCGTATGCTTTGGAGGTAAAGCCAGCAAGACAACATTTAAATGACTTACATTTGAACCTTTTGAATATGGACACTCCCAAGTTAAAATATCCTCCTTCTGAAGTGGCTTCCTTTCCCCCCGGGGACAATTGGGAAAATGCCTTGAACATTACGGTGTCAATTCAAAAATTCTGTGTTAGAAGGAGATCAGTCAGTCAATCCTTCCACCTCATATGCTGCTTTCTCTCCTTACTGGTTGATCCGTTCATTTACTTTTTCCCCACCTCTGAGTAGATTTGAGATTGCTCATTTTATTTTTTTAAATTTAGGTAAATAAAAGTGGAAGATAAAGAAAAAAAATGTTTTAAGAATTGGGTAAAATGGCGATAGAAAGCAGAGAAAACGCTAGTGCATGAGAGCAGGCAATAAATTCCCATGTAAGAAAAGTATTTTTTTAAAGATGCAATTTACAGGGACTTCCCTGGTGGTCCAGTGGTTAAGGCTGTGCTTTCACTGCAGGGGGCACAGGTTCGATCCCTGGTTGGGGAACTGAGATCCCACATGCCATGTGTTGTGCCCCCCCCCCAAAAAGATGCAATTTGCATAATGTAATTTGAATTTGGAATTAAAATAACATTTTAGCCAGAACATGATTCTGGGAGGGATGCAAGTTCCCTTATGCTATTAACCTTGACTTGCCCATGTGCATGACATGTAGGTCATTCACAATAAAATAGGGCCTCGCTGTCCAAACACTCTCTCTCCACGCCAGTGGGCATTTTAAAAATACAGGGTAGCCTGCCTTTTTCCAATTCTCTTCCTAGGAAGCAGTCATTGACCAGGAATTAATACCAGGCAGTCGCTGTGCCTCGCCACATCTCTCTGTGGGAATTTTTTCCACTAGTCCCCTATCTTGAACCTCATCCAGGTTCAGAAGGGAATTTTAGCCTCTTTGATCAGCCTTAATGTGCAGACAAGTATCCCGTGGGTCAGGGGCTTCTAGTTTTATCTGACAGGTAGCCTCCCTGGAAACTTTAAATCTGTGTAACTCAGAGAAGAAAAGGGAACATCCCTCATCTTTTGGGTATTTGGGTCTTTCTGTTGGGAATCCTAATTACAAAGCTGACCAGAATACCAGTTATAAAATGTTGTCAGAAGAGTTATGTGGTAAATGCTGGGTGGAAATTAAAGCTGGGATTTACTTCAGCTCTGCTGGTGAGAAAATTCTGCCGGGACTCAGTACACAACAATCACGTTTACCCATCCATGCAGAAGCCTTTAAAGCCTTGTGGAATCAATGTAATTTTCTCTTAACTTTGGATGTTATGAAATATTTAGCATATCAAGCTACATGGCAAACAGAGCATTTGTAAGGAACTCATTTTGAGGAATAGTTTCCACGGTGCTATGAAAAGAGCAGTGGATTGGAGTAGGTGGCCCGGGTTCAATTTCTGGCTCCACCAGAATTGGGATGGCTCACTTACTGGAATGTTCCTTCCCTTCTGTAACACGGGGGTCATACCTTCTCTGTCGTAGGTGATACGGATCAAATGAGATTTAATGTGCAAAACCAACACAATAAATACGAATTATCTTCCTCTTCCCCCACCTACACTTACCTGAAGAGACTAAGTTTATGCTTATTATAATGTCATTGAGTACCCAGCACAGCATTGTAGAAGGCACCAGAAGCTTTTCATCAGATACGGGCGCTCTCACCCACCAACTGACCAGGCGATCTGGGCAAGTTCCTTATTCATGTTGCTCCTCAGTTTCCTTATCTGAAAACTGGGGATGAATCTACAGGCTCACATATGCAGCTAATATAAGCACCCAGCACATGTCAGGCTCACACCACGTGCTAAATAAAAGAAGGTCATTATTATTGAGGAAGCTGAGGGGTGCTGGTTCCACACTGCAGACCCACCTTAGCTGCATATTCTTATGTTCATCTGCCTGCTTCTCGGCCACTCACTGTTTCAAAGTCAGCCCTGACTGACATGGGAAGGAGGGATCTAAGAGCCTCAGAGGGGCGAGTTCTAAGATGGGCTGTTCCACACACGGAGGCTAATTGATTCTCTTTTTTTTTTTTTAAGTCTTTATTGAATTTGTTACAATATTACTTCTGTTTTATGTTTTTGGTTTTTTTGGCCATGAGGCATGTGGGATCTTAGCTCCCCGACCAGGGATCGAACCCACACCCCCTGCATTGGAAGGAAAAGTGTTAACCGCTGGACCACCAGGGAAGTACCCTGGTTTTTTGTTTGGTTTTGTTTTTTTTTTAATTTTAAATTATCGAATAACCTGTTGAGTGGAAAGAAGGCTCTGACAGATTTATCTACTGCTGGAATTTGAAAAATTGAGATTTAAAGGTGAGCGGCTAATGTTCCAGCTCCCTGCGGTCTAATTCCTCACCCAGCTTTCGGGCATAATCCTGCTGCCCTCCCGCTAGGGTCAGGCTGAGATGAGGTCATGTCCTGGAAGGCAGGATTCCCACCCCGCAACCCCCGCCCCCACCCCGGAGGCAAAAGGCCCCAGCACACTCTGGCCTGAGCCAGGCCCCCAGGGTGTGTTTTCTGTCCCTAAGAGTTCTGTGCCTGAGAGTTCTTCCAGGAGGATAGTAGAGGTTCATTTGAATAAAACTCAGAGGCCTGGATATTGTGAATTTCATTCCAGTAGGAAGCAGCTTGAGCTTAAGGATATTAGGAGCCTTTTCTTTTTCTCCTATTTCATGGTTTCTTTTAAAAATTAAAAAACAGTTCTGGGCAAGAGGCATTTTCCATCTCCAGCCCTGAGACGGTGATCTGAGTCCATAGCCCTTCTGCAGAAGCTCCATCTTCCCCTTCCCACATCCCTAAGATTCGTTAAGAAAACGCACATATAACAGCATCGGATATGCGAGCCGGGAACAGGAGTGACAGCACAGTGGGGTCACCACTCCTCATTCTCTGGTCCCCTTCAGTGATGAGAGCAGCCCCCAAACACCGTTTCTTCATACGGTACCGTTGCTGTCTGATAGCATCCATCCCATGGACCAGCAAGTATTTGTTACGTGTCACTTCGTTGATCTCCAAAATATGTCAGTTAAATCACCAGCAGATGTTGTCTTTGATTTGCATTTCATAAAGGACCAAAGCAAGAGTCAGGCTGTGCAGAGTCTACAGAATGCAAATGAACTGGTTGAGTCCCTGTTCTTGGCTCGTTAGCTACTGAGGTCACAGGAAAACTAGGTAACAAACAGCCCCAATACTTAGTGACTGAAGACAACCTTTTAGTGTATGTCACGGTTTTGTGAGTTGGGAATGGGGCAGGACTCAGCCAGGTGATTCTTCTTTCTGTAGGGCATTGACAGAGGTCCCAGATGGGCTGACCTGGAGGGGCCAAGGCTTACACTTGGCAGACGGCTGGAGGCTGGGACCGTGCACCCGAGAGCCCACGAGGGGCCTCCCCAGCGTGGGTTCAGGGTGGTCTCACTGCTTTATGTGCAGTTAGGGTTCCCAGAGCAAGTGTTCCCAGGGACAAAGCAGAGGCCATGTGTAGTTTTATGACCCGGTCTCAGGTCACACAGCATCACTTCCATACTCTATTTGTCAAATTGATCACCAGTCTACCCACATCCAAGGGAAGGGGGACAGAGACCAGCCTCTGTGGGAAGAATGTCAAAGAACTTGCAGCTGTGTTTTAAAAGCAGCCCTGTGGACACATAGTTTGGCGGTTCCTTAATAAGTTAACCATAGAATTTCCTCATGACCCAGCAATCCCACTCCTGGCTCTATACCCAGAAGAACTGAAAATAGGTGTTCAAACAAAAACTTGAACATGCATGTCCACAGCAGCACTGTTCAGAGTAGCCAGAAGGGGAAGCAACTCAAATACCCATCAACAGCCTAAGTGGGTAAACAAAGTGCGCCCCATCCATGTGGAGAAATATTCAGCCCCAGAGAGGAACGAATTTCTGACACGGGCCACAGCATGGACGAACCTTGAAAACATTGTGCCAAGTGAAATAGGCCAGACACAAAAAGCTACATATTACATGTTGGACTTACATGAAATAGGCAAATCCATAGAGACAGAAAACAGATTGGTGGTTGCCAGGTGCTAGGGGAGGCGGAAACGGGGAGTGAGAAATGGGGACTGACTGCTTAATGGTTTGGGTGATGGAAAGTTCTGGACCTAGATGGTATTGATGGGTGCACTAAAGGTCATGCAGGGTAAGTTTTATGTGTATTTTACCACAATTTTTTAAATGATAGTTTTGTGGAGGGTTTCTGAAGTGCCCCTGAATCGTCTGTGCCCTCAGAAGTTTACAGTCGGGAGGGAGAGTTCCTTTCTGGCTCTTTCATCCTAGAACACAGTTACTAGTTTTTGAGAACCAGATTTTAAGTCGTGGAGAAGATTCCTCTATGCACAGTTCTCTCCTATGGCGTATCTGTCTTTCCCGGTCCCCGGCTGCCACTTTGTATCCATCCAGAGGCCTTGTCCCCTCCTCGCAGCCGGAAGCCCTGAGGGCCCGGGGGTTAAGTGTAGAGTTATAGGTCCGGGTGTGAACCTGCGCACCGCACGGGCCAGCGGAGCTCCGACCGCCAGCTGCTTCTCTGGTGGAGGAGCCAAAGCTAGCCCTTGCCTTGCAGGTTGCTCAGAAGGAAAGGAGCTTAGAGGCGGCACAGCACAGCGTTCGGTAAATAGGAGCTATGACGGGTACGGTTTTTAGCGTGAAAGGGACCACGATGGGCGGAAGCATCTCACATCGCGTTGAGTCTGCGCTGACGCGGCTTTGCAGGCTCCGAGCCAGCTCGTGGGTGTGTTTTCTCTGCAGGAATTCATTCGCCTGGGCAGCCTCAGCAAGCTCTCCGGGAAGGGGCTCCAGCAGCGCATGTTCTTCCTGGTAAGTGGTGAGAGCTGTTAATTCAAGGTTGATCAGTGACTTGTGAGCCCATGGAACCAGCAAGGGTCACGGCGCTGGGCCTTGGCCACCCCAGAGGGGGTACCTACCTGGGAGACAGGAGGAGCAGCCAGAGCTGAGCAGACTGGAGGTGTTGAGATCCACGAATTGTCCTGTCGGACTCTGAAAACGTAGTTTCTGTACTTGTTGGTTTCAAACGGAGCCCATTCGTCTCAGCCGCGCTTGTCCTTGTTCTTCTAGTTCAACGACGTCTTGCTCTACACGAGCAGGGGGCTGACGGCCTCGAATCAGTTTAAAGTTCACGGGCAGCTCCCGCTCTACGGCATGACGGTGAGTATGCGCCGTGGGCATGGGATGGGGACCTCTGCCTCTGGGCTGCCTGCGGGGTGCAGGAGCCAGTGACAGGGGGAGGGGCTTGATAAGGAAGTGAGAGCATCACAGGCGCTGTGAAAAACCTGGGCCTTGTTAGGGCTCCCCTAGAGGGGCCCCGGGACCTCACTCCCTGTCCTGCACCTGGGATGCGCGGCTATGTACCTTCCGGCATCAAGTGCAGAGGCAAGCTGCCGTGCCTACGTGGTGTGAACTTGCCTTTCACTGCCCGGTGCCTGGCCCCGGGGCCCTGAGAGGCCAGCCTCACCGTCCACGTGGAGTGAAGACCAGGAAGCAGCCTTTCTCCGGAGATGTCCAGTGGACGGGTGTCTGTATTCTGTGATCCTTGGTGGGCAGAGGCAGACACGGCGCCAGTGTGCACCAGTGTGGCTTATCCCCACACTCTCCTCAGTGGTCGGGTAGAGGGAGGTTTATGGCTCTGACGGAAAAAATATAATGCATTTTGACCTTGCTTTCACCCTCCTGATGGGGACTTTTTTGGACTTGGTTCCGCTGAACTGTAGTCAGTTCGGTGAACGTTTGAAAATGCACTGAGTATCCCAACCCCTGCTCGGCAGTAACTTATGAACACTCGCCCCACAGATGGAGGAAAGTGAGGACGAGTGGGGCGTGCCCCACTGCCTCACCCTGCGGGGCCAGCGCCAGTCCATCGTCGTGGCTGCCAGGTAACGCGGGAAGCCTGACCTTTGACCTCGGTACCCCTTCTCCCCACCGTGGCCTGGAAATACCTGACGTCCATCTGTCCTCCTCCAGTTCTCGGTCCGAGATGGAAAAGTGGGTGGAGGACATACAGATGGCCATTGACTTGGCCGAGAAAAGCAGCGGCCCCGCCCCCGAGTTCCTGGCCAGCAGCCCTCCTGACAGCAGTAAGCATTGCACTGAAAATTGCCTTACCGATGCGCCCCATAGCCACAGTCTACGTTTGTGTTTTAAGCTAAAAATCAAGGAACTTTTTATAAAAGTTAAACAAACAAAACCCCTTAAAAGAGAATGAGCGAGCGGAGAAATCGCATCTTTTCTGGGCCAGCACTGCCGCTTGTCAGCCTCTGGGGGGCGAGGGGCAGGGAGAAAACTGTTGGGGGCTCCCTGGCAGAGGGACTGGTGGGACGTCCCTGGCCAAGCCCTCGCTGCCAGTGTGACTTCCTGCTCGGTGGGTGTCCGGGACCCCCAGCCTTCCCATCCCATTCGGCTCCTGGGCGGGGGGCGGGACAGGGGCCCTCCTGGCGAGCAGAGAGGAAAGCGCCGCCTCTTGCTGCCCCTGCAGAGTCCCCGGAGGAGGCAGCGGGCGACCAGGAGTCGGAGGACGACCTCAGCGCCTCGCGCACCTCGTTGGAGCGCCAGGCCCCGCACCGCGGCAACACCATGGTGCACGTGTGCTGGCACCGCAACACCAGCGTCTCCATGGTGGACTTCAGCGTGGCCGTGGAGGTAGGGCAGGCGGCGGGGGGTCAGGCCACGGGCACTGGCCTTCTGAGCATGCGCGCTCTGTGGGCCGGCAGGTGCACCGGCCTTGGCGTCTGTCCGTTCCCAGGCCGCCTGTGCAGTGATGGTTTCCTTTTGTTTTCTGGACCGTGCCCTCTGCTCTCGCGGAGTTAGCCACAGGGCGGGGACTGTGCGTGCCTTTATTCGTGTGTCCGCGCCGAGAGGTCCGGATGGGCCGCGCAGGCGCCGTTCTTGCTGCGCCCTGGAGCAGGCCCCGGAATCGGGTGCGGGGAGGCGGTATGGTTGGAAAGCCGGTGCCAGCCAGGGCCACAGCAGGTAGGTGTATTTCATGGAAGAACCTGCAAGAAGCCGGCTCTCGGAGCGTCCCGAAGATCTGGCTTTGGGGATGGGGGCTCTCCCCGTATTGCGACCGTGAACTTTCTAGAACTCTCCAAACCTCATTCCCTAAGCGTCCTCCAGTCCAGGTCCATAATCCCTAACCTTTCAGAAAATGCGAAGCCCAGAAAGCTCTAAAACCGTGAAGTTCTCTTCATACCCCATTGGCAGCAGAAGCTGAACTGACCAGTCAGGAGGCTGTTTATTGGTTTTGCGAGCACGTCCTGTTTTATACTACAGAATCGCTGTGTTTGATTCTGGGCTACAACCCCAGACCCCACTGCCTGGGGTGCCATAGAGGACAGGCACTGGATTATCTTTCTAAAATCTGACAAATTCTGAATTCCTAAGTGTGCCTGGCCCGAAAATGTCACATAGGAGATTGTGAGCCACGAACAGCGGTTCGTTTGCTTTCGGAACCAACAGTGTGTTGGTTCAAATGAGCCGAACATTTCTTGATGGGTAGGCCATAGGGGTTCTCTGAGATTGTTTTCTGGAACTGAGCTTCACAGTTCCACAGAACTGTGTTTGTTGAGTTTCCCTGCTACAGCTAATGTTCTAAAACCCATGCTTCCTCGTCAAGACATCCTCATCCTCGGGGCTGTCCCAGCGTGTGGAGCTCCCCGACTGTGCGTGGCCTTCCGTCTCCTGCATCCGCCCCACGGCGGGGCGGGGGGGGGGGGCCTTTCTCTTCCCGAGGTTCTCACTGCACTCCTCCTTCTTCCCATCACATTTCCACTGCATCTGTCGGCGAAGCTTGCCAACCGGAGATTTCTTCCAGGGAACAGGGATCTTTCCAGCAAGGAGGGGGCAGTGGCCATCTGGAGGCAAAAAATACCTGATGACATCTCTTCTGTCCAGGCGAGGCCAGGGGAAGGGCGGGGCCGTGCGGGAGAAGTCCTCTTTGCTTCGCTTTATTATACTCACCTTTGCGATGTGTAGTCAGGGCTGTGGAGGTGTGGGAATTTGGTAGGCACGAACCTTCCTCCTTAACCCTGGAGGCAGGCAGGCCATTCAAGAATGCGGCCCAGACACAGCTCCTCGAGCCCAGCTTTTCAGGGTGATAGCCTGCACTGGTGCTGTGTGTGTCAGTCAGCCGAGTGGTCAGCACGCTGCGGCCTCAGACCAAACCCTGCCTGCCCCCTGCTTGGTTACAGCCCCTCAGCGAAGACCAGGGTTTTCCGTTTTTGAGTGGTTACTACAACTATCTTTGATTTTGCCCCTTGGCCCAAAAAGCCTAAAATAGTATTTGGCCCTTTGAGGAAAGGTTTGCTGAACGTTGTAGCCCATGCAAGCGAGCCCTGAGCCAGTGTGGTTTTAAGGTGGCCGTGATGCAGCTTGGATGCTCGTGGAACTGGCACGTCTGTCGCTCTGTAAATGTCCCTTCCTTGCCCGATCCCCCTTCCCCAAGGCGTGTGGCTTCAGTCTGGTGTCCGTGGTGGGCTCCTGTGGGTGCCGCATGCCCCTGGATGACCGGAGTTGGGGGAAGGGGGACGAGGGAGTGGCTCCTTCCTTCTTGACGTGCTGCTTCCTTACCGTCCCCGGCACCAGATTCTCTCTTCTAGGGCTCGTGCAGGTAGAAGTGAGTGAGGGGGATGTTTGGGGGCAGCGTAAAATTGAGCTGGCCTCCGTAGAAAGTCTGGGGGCACCGTCGACGTCGGGGTGCTGACGCTAGGATGGCCAGTGTGAAGCCTCGCGTAGGCCATAGGGCCAGCGGAGGGTTCAGAGGTGAAACCATCAAAGTTGTGTTGTAGGACTGGAGTTGGGAGGCGGTGGGGGCTGGGGAGTGAGGAGGGTGTCACTCAGCCGTCTGCACACAGGTGAGGACCAGGGGGATGGGGGGAACATAACTAGGGGTGGGGACCCTCATTTCCTGTGGCTGCCGCAACACATCTGAAGCCGCTTAACAACAGAAATGTGTCCTCTCACAGTGCTGGAGGCCTTAAGTCCACGATCAAGGTGTCAGCAGGGTCGGCTCCTTCTGGCGGCCCTGGTCCAGGTCTCTCTCCTGGCTTCTGGTGGTTGCCAGCCACCCTCGGTGTTCTCTTGGCTCCAGTGTCCGCCTCTGTCTCACTTGGGGGTCTCCCTGTGTATCTGTTAAAAAGTCCTCTTCCTATGAGGACACCAGGCATTGGGGTTAGGACCCACCGTACTCCAGTAGGACCTTATCTTGATTGTATCTGCAACGACCCTATTACGGTCATCTTCACAGGTACTGGGCCTTTGGGCATGAACATCTTCTGGGGGGGACACGAATCAGTCCACAACAGGGATGGAGCAGTTGGGAGCAAAGAGGCCTTCCTCCAGTCTGGGAAAGGCAGGGAATGGGCCTCAGCCGGTGCCAGATTGGGAATGTTGACCTCTCCCGTAAAGGCAGCACACAGAGACTGGTCCGGGTTGGAGACAGACCCAAAGGTCATTTGCATAGACAAAAGGCTCAGGCTCTTGAGAGCAGCTTAGGGGCCATGTGACCTGAGTAGGAGGACTTGAAGTGTGTATGGGAGCGAAGCCAAGGGAGCGAGAGTTTCGGTGGGGTTGGCAACTTTGGAGGGCACGGGGGCAATAGGGAGCAAGGAGAGACCAGTAGATACAATTCCTAAGAAGCATCTCATCTGTTAAGCTGGCAAAGCTAGAAGGACTTACTCAGAACGAATACCCTGGCATGTTCCAGGAGGAGTCAAGGCTGCTGGCAGAAGGTAAGTGTGTTCTCATGACCCTGCCTTGGACAAAACACTGGCCTGGAACCTGGATCATCAATGAAGTGTGTAAACCACACTGTGGGTTGGACTGGCTATCGTTCCAAAGGTAAACGCATCTAAGAGAAAGGTTTTTTGGGGGCTCTGTCTGGAGGAATTTGATTTCAGTATAAAAATAAGGAAAGGAAAATGTGCTACTCTCCTTCCTCCAGAGTGAGACTTGCATGTAATCATGTGTGCTACCGCACAAGCATCAAATCCCCACTCTGGTTGGTTGCCACCATCACCTGCTGGAACCCACAGTTCCCCTTTTCTCGTGCCTTTCGCCAGTGGGTAAGTGGCAGCCAGAAGGAGTGATGGCACACTGTCTGCGGTGGCCACAGGGACAGCTCTGCTTCCTGTGTTCTCTCGGCCTAACACACCGTCAGACTGCAAGCGACTCGCAGCCAGAGCCATTTAAACTCTTCTCACAGGCACCTTACTTAAGGATGCCTCTTGGATTAAATATAGGTTACTGGAAAAGCCCCAGAGGGATGGAATGAAGTAGTCTGCAGGTGTGTGTATATGTATATTTTATTGTGGTGCGTTTGCCCGTTTCACCCCTCTGAAGTGAATGATTTAGTGGCAGTGATTATATTCACCATCCATTTCTCTCTTCGTCAAGGCTTCCTGGCGATGAGCTGCTATCTTGTCAGGGACACGGATGAGGCTTCTTAGGGTCCTCTGAGAGGTGACACAGGGGCTTTGGAGAGAAGGCAAGGATGCACAGGCTCTGCTCTTGGCGTCCCCCCTTGGCTGCCTGTGATTTCACGGTGGTGCTCTGTGCTGGCAGCTCCTGCGGGCCTCAGGAGACCATGGAGCTCCGGAGTTAAACCAGGACACCCGGAATGCCTGTTCCCACCAGCGTAGGATGGGGCTGGAGGCTCTGCGCTGAAATCCAGCGTTGCAGCCAGGGCCACCAGGTGGCAGGCAGGAGCTGCTGGCTGGCGCTGGGCTCCTGCCGGCTTAAGAGTTGAGGGTGATGGATCCTTTCCCACGGATGCCCTAACGAGCACCACCCGCTGGGCAGATCTGTCTCACCATCCTGGAGGTCACAGGTCCAGAAATCAATGTGGCAAGAGGGCCACGCTCCCTCTAAACCTATGTGGGAGGAGGCTGCCTTGCCTCTGCCGGCTGCTGTGGGTTGCTGACCAGCCTTGGTGTTCTTTGGCTTGTAGACACATCACTCGAGCCTGCCTGTTGTCACAGGGGCTGCCCTGTGTCTGTCTCCTTTTTAGAGGAATGTCAGCCGTAGTGGATACGGGCCTCTACTTCAGGACGATCTCCTTAATTCTACATCCGATGACCCTATTTCCAAATAAGGTCACATTCTGGGATAGTGGGGGGGGGGGAGGGGGTTAGGATTTCCAGATACATTTGGGGGACAGAATTCAGCCCATACCAGGTGACAGGAAAATTAAACCAGGCTCACGCAGTCCCCCTCCCAGAGCGAAAGGCTGTTTTCTTAAGTCACCCCCAGGAAGCCTGCTCACAGACGCACGGCCCTGCCGGCGGGCCCCACCGGGCTCCTTACGGGCTGACTTGTCTTGTAGAATCAGCTGTCTGGGAACCTGCTGAGGAAATTCAAGAACAGCAACGGGTGGCAGAAGCTGTGGGTGGTCTTCACCAACTTCTGCCTCTTCTTCTACAAGTCGCACCAGGTATGTGCCCGGGGGGCGGCTGGGGAGGAGCCTGAAGGACCCTCCCTCCTCAGGGAGCAGGCAGCTTTCCTCCGGAAGGATGAACAGCTTGACCCCTGAGCCACCCAGGTGTCGCAGGGGGGCCCACAGCAGGCTGGGCAAGGCCACGGCCCTCAGAGACCCCACAGCTCTAAGCGAAGGCTGCTGTTATCCACTTGCCCAAGGGCTGCACGTCTGCTGGTTGGATGAGGGGAGGGGGGCGCGGGTGATGTCACCGGTGGCCGACGCGACGCATCCGGGCCTGGACCTCAGTCCAGACCAGCTGCTGCGGGCAGGTGCCAAACCTGTGGCTGCTCCCACCTTCCGTGCCCCCTTCCAGGACAGTCACCCCCTCGCCAGCCTGCCTCTGCTTGGGTACTCGCTCACCATTCCCTCGGAGTCCGAAGACCTCCACAAGGACTACGTGTTCAAGCTGCATTTCAAGTCCCACGTGTACTACTTCAGGGCTGAAAGCGAATACACGTTTGAAAGGTAAAAGTCCCCCTCCACAGGGCACCTGCAGAGAAAGGACACCCTTCCGAGCAGCGCGCTTCCTCCCATAAGGCCTCATAGCGGCAGCTACTTCCTGCCTGGGCACTGACCCCCTTCCAGAAGGGGCTTCTTGTTCTCACCCTGCTACCTGCTTAAAATGAAAGTGCTTCGTAAGACCTGGGCTCTGCGTGCCCAATGCGAGTACACGTCTGTTTTCACAGGAGCAAGTGGAACCGTGACTTTCCCTGGGACACATCAGCCCAAAACCTGTACGCTAGTTCACACCACGCGGGGTACACTTTTCCATCTCTAACTTGTGTTTTTCCAGTCGATGGCTACAGTAGTTGCTTCATCCCGTGGCCAAAAGGCTAAGTAAGCTTCAAGTCAAAAGACCACGTAAGGAAGGAAAAAAAAAAAAATCCTAGTGCCTCTTAGGGTTAGTTACCTTACCAATGAGACTGGCTCCGTGGTGTGAAGACCCAGGGCAGTGGTCTTCCTTTAGCCAAGAAGTGAAGGAGCCAGGCTCTCCCTGTGGCCACATTCAAGTACAAATCCCGGGCCTCGCATCCTGGGGCAGGCTCTGAAAGCAGTGTCACTGCCGAACCACCACCTGGGCGAGGGGTGGTCCTTGGGCACCAGACCAGACAGGGCAGCTGCTGCCACCCCCCTGAGGGAGAAACTCCTCCTGAAAACCCACGAGGGTTTCCGATCAATGGGCCAGTCATCCGTGCACAAACTCACTCACGTAAAGTTAGTTCACGGGAAACAGCACAGTGGTTTAAGACCAGGGTCGAAGCCGCCGTTGACACCCACCCCAGAGCAGCAGGGCCCTAAGCTACACTGGTTGAAAAGGGAGCCCAGGGGGTAGCACTCCTCAGATTTGATCCTGGACTGGAAAACTGAGATGCCGTCACTGCTGTGGAAGGGAGAACGTAGTCCTGGGATTAGGGATTTCTAAAGCCCTCTAAGCTCCACAAAGGCGGGAAGCTGGGCCATCCCAGGTCTCCTCCCCCTGGCACTCCTGACGTGGTACACCAGATGACGCTTTGTTGTTGCAGGCGGGGGACGCTCAGCAGCAGCCTGGGCCCCTCTGCTTCTAGACCACAAACAGCCCCGTGTCTAGGATAGGCCGCACCCCACTGTCCTGAGAAAGACTGGCAGTGTGCACTGCAGCCCCACGTCGGGCGCGTCTGCAGAATGAGCATGCCCCGGTCAGTGGTCCTCAGGAGTACCTGGAGGAGGCCTTAACCCCGCTTTCCTTTACCTTTACCTGGAAGCTAGGAGCTCATGTGAGATCTCTCCTGCTACAAAAGCAGATTCTACGCCAGGCAGTATTAGGTCACACTGGGGCTTTGTAAGTAACGACCGCCAGGGGTCATGAAGCTGTAACAAACAAGAAAAGCAGATTTCAGAGACACGGGCTGATAAAAAGTGGCCCCTGACGGTTATTTTACTTTCTTGTCCTAGATGGATGGAGGTGATCCGAAGTGCCACCAGTTCAGCCTCCCGTGCCCACGTTCTGAGTCACAAAGAATCTCACGTGTATTGATGGCAGGACGGGACACATGTGTTGATTGTTTCAGCAGTGGCGACTTTCCCGGAAGACATTTTCTTTCTTCTGTATTAATGAAGCCTAGTAAAATTAACACCTGTCTGTCTGGAAAACAAAATAATACATGGTTTCACAGCGACTCTCATCTGTCTCCACAGAACCATTTTAAACCTTGTCTTCGCAGCTGTTAATTTCTCATCGGAACTGGACCGCACCCCTGCCTTCAACGCGGGTGGCGTCTCGGCCGTCATGCCCTCGGTGGGCTGTCTTCAGCTTGTGCCAGTATTAAAACATTGTCACGGATAGAGTGCCGAATGACATTTTTTCCCTCCGCAACTGCACCTTAAAGTCAGTACTAACACATCCATGCAACCAAAAGACAGGGCAAGGGCTCTTTTTTTTAAAAAGATGATTGATAAACTTACGATTTTGATTTCTAGGCTGCTGTATTTTACAAAATGGATTTTCCATTGTTTGTCTGCGATACACTTGGCAGTCTTAAGCAAATGAGATCATTTTCAGATTTTTTTTCTCTTTCTACTTTTATAATGATAGAAAATTAGTAGGATTTACTTTTTTGATAAATGGGCAGTTTGCAGCATCCTGGGTTCCACTGGGGGCTGCAGGCTCCAGTGAACCGCTGGGTCCCAGACCTACTTCTTGGCACAAGTTGACCAAATTGTTTAAGCAGTGACCATTTACAAAGCATAGCGGGTTGTTTTCTGTTAAGAGAAGCGGAAATCCAGTGCGCTCTCTGGACTGTCGGTGTACTGAGTGGCGTATCCGATGGGAGGGTAGTAAGCTGTGGTGTTTTGCTGTATGTTTCACAAGCATGAGAACCTGTATGGCAGTGACCAGGGCCATCTGTGCTGTGTTACGTTGTGGAGCGTGTCTGAGCTTCTCGTGGATGCAGGAGCTCTGAGTCACAGTGCGTAGTCCCCTGGCTCCTGTGATCATACCTGTATCCTACTGCAACTACACACTGAATAGTGGTATATATATCGTGCCTGTCTTCACAAACCATTCTTTTCTCCTTTTTATACTCACCACCCCCCCCCCCCCCCCCCCCCCCGCCAAACTACCCCCCGGCCTGGGGTATGGACATATGACATTGCACATCCTTGACAGTCGGACAACACAGGGAACAGGGTTCCAGTAACTGCTGGGGCCCACAGGTCAAAATCCGTTCGCCTCTTCTCCATGGGGATCGAGTGGCTGCTAGTTCCTTGGTATTGTTAAGCCCTTTCCTGATGCCGCCCCCAGAGGGGGCGACCCATCCAACACGGTTCCCTTCCAGTGCCCCACACCACAGCTAGGGGCCCTCAGCTGAGACACCCAGGACCACCCCGACTGGGGGGCTGTGACCAGCGTACGTGGAAACATACAAATGGACAATGAGTAGCTCGAGATGTGTGTGAATCACTTGCCTTACGGTCTGTACAGACGGTTTTAAGTACTAACAAAAGGGAATAAAAATACCTCATGCCACAATCCAGCATCCTGAAGTTTTAAGGCAAAACCACCAACCTCGTCTCTTGTCTTTGACTGAATCTCAGGTGGGTCGGGGAGTCAGCTGGTCACCGTGGGGTGGGGTGAATGAGCTGCTGAGTCTGTTCTCTTAAGACAAACAACATATTTTGATACGTATGTGATTATTTTCTCTGCTGCTTCCAATGTGGGACCGGGAAAGCAGAACATTTCCGGAAGACTGACCATCAGAGGCGCTAGAAGACAAAGGGGTTGAGGGCAAGGTGGGCAGGGAGGGGACTGGGAAGCCTTTGACCCCAGTCCCTGGGCTGCTGAGATGGCGGAATCATGAGCTTCTCTCCCTCCAAAAGTCACACCTGTCACTCACCTCTACAAGGCTTGGAGACAAAGCGTGGTCTCCTAATTCAGTCCTCTGCTCCCAGCTATGATTCACACCTGTGTCCCCCGTGACTTCAAAGAAAACCTAAGTGCAAATCATGTAGGCGATTCAGACCACGCCCAAGCTGCTGGAAACAGATGGGAGCTTCAGAGACACCCGCTATCTCAGTCCTTTCTGGCTGCTGTAGCAAACATACCATCAACTGGGTGTCTTATAAACAAATATCCTTCTTACAGTTTGGAGGCTGGAAGTCCAAGATCAAGGTCCCGGCAGATGCAGTATCTGGTGAGGGCCCACTTCCTGGCTCACAGATGGCCATCCTCTCGCTGTGTCCTCACATGGTGGAAGGGGTGAGGGATCGCTGTGGACTCAGGGCACTAATCCCAGTCCTGAGGGCTCCACCCTCATTACCTAATCATCCCCAAAGGCTCCCCCCTCCTAATGCCATCACACTGGGGCTCAGGATCTCAACATATAAATTCAGAGGGTGCGGGGGACACAAACGTCGTCTAGTCCCCCTCTACACACAAGGCACAATTATAAAAAGAATCATTTCTGTGAACTTTATTGACCCTCGCATGATACAGACCCTGTGCTTAAGAACACACCTTGCAGCACTCTTCCGTTATTGCCATATTTTATAGGAGAAATACACAAGCCACGTCTAAGGAGGAAGATCTAAAAATGCTCATAGACAGACCTATGTTTTGCCAAAAGAAAGGTACAAAACGCTGCATTCAAACTAAAAGCTTCAAAAGGCCACTTGGAGAACAAAACGTCAGATCGGGAAGGTGTGTGGCCCTTGGTTACAGCGAGACAATCACACGACTGTGGCAGTGCCGAGGCCCCCAGACCACATGGGTGCAGCCAGTGCAGAAAAAGACCACTTCAAAAAGGTGGCGACAACCAGCCAGACACAGCCCCCAACCTCCAAGAGGCTGTCTGTGCTTCTGGGTGAAGCCACCCAGCCATCAGCAGTGTGGACAGAGAAGCCGCTAACTGCTGGGCTTCGGCATCCAGAGGCTTCCGAGGGGCAGTCAATCTACCTTGAGTGCTGAGCTCACGGGTCTGGCTAAATACCACCCGTGGTTTATAGGCCCGAGGCAGGTCCTCTTGTAGCTCTGGTACCTGGTCTGTCTTTTAATAAAGGACTTGAAGTGGACAAATGCTAGCCTCAAGCAGATGCCCTCTCTTTGTCTACAGAAAGTAACAAACCAGGAGATATTGTAGGGGGAGGTGACCCACTTTCAAAAGCCTGTCAAAGCACATCTTCCCCGAGAAGCTTCATCAACAGAAGACGTTCCCAATAAACTCAATAATTTGCCGCTTTGCCTGGGAGACGGTGCTGTGTTGTTACCATCCAGTGACTGCAGAGCAGCTACTAACCATTCACAGCACCTCACTTAGCTGGGATCCCGTCTGCCAGTCAGCGTAACCATCACTCATATTTGACATGGCGGTCAGTCAGCGTCAAGTCCTGAAACCACTGTCCATTTGCAAATCTGAAGAACTCTAGACCGGAAAGCTGCTGTCTGCTCTGGCGCTCTCAAGATCAGACAAGCAGCACACCTCGGGGAACGCGGCTCCATTTCTTTGATTCTCCAGCAACGGACAAAACTGATCTTTGCCTCATGCCTCACACAGGGAAACAAACAGCTCCATCACACAGAATACTCTCCGAAACACAAAATGAAATATGCTCCATTTTTGTTGTTCAAGTTAACAAACTTGCACGATGGCCATTTGGTTCTGTTTCCCCTAACCAAAATATATCCCTTATAGAAATTAATCCAAATCTACTTTTAATTTAAAAATCACGACAATTTTAAGAGTTTAAAAAACTAGCTCCATTCCATTAACCAAAACAATAACCACCCCTCAGACGTCCTAGCTCAGGCCTCTGTCCTCTCCCTGTAACATCCAGGCCACCGGGCCAGCAGATAACTGACCTTCCGTCCTCAAGTTTACCCAGTAACTTCCCTGCTTCCAAAAGCCTTTGTATTCCACCTCAAGAACTGCTACTCCAACAAGAGATGACAACGATTCGTATCAACAAATAATAAAAAATGTCACATGTACTCAAATCAGTCAAGAATGGCGGCAAGAAGTATTTCCCGACCCAGAGACCCAGAGGTTATTAACCCCCTTGGCAAGCAAGACGCTGCCACAAGCCAAGAAAAATCCAGACACCTGGCGGACAAACTGGCGGACACCATCTCCTTTAAAAATACCAACAACCTTCCCTCCAGTTCCCTGGGAAGACAGCAGTTTTACAGATGAGCAATATTCACCCATATCTTCTCAGGACCATTTTTAAAAGTTGCATAGGGAGCTGACCTGGACATTCCACAGCTTGAATGTGGGCACTTCTTCCCGGAGCCTCATACACACACACACACCACACACACACACACATACACACACATACCCACACACACGGCAGGTGCACTGCCCTCTCAAGAGTCACGTTCCAAGGAGAGTATGCAAAATCTGTGTTATAAAATTTATTTGTGTAAGCATTCAGACATGTTTAGGTGGGAAAGATGATACGCAGATTTCACTACAAGGTGCAACAGAAAACCCTACTGGAAGGACGGTACAGCTGGCGCAGGACTGGCAGGGCACGAATGAAAGTGAGACGAGAACACTTCATCGGGGAGAAATTTAAAATAATAATTTAAAGCTTCATGAGGCAAGGTATGTTCCAATTTAAAACACTAAGAAATAGTACCATCGATGAAAAAGGAAATCAACTTCTAAGTGTACCAAAAGGGTTGTAGGGCAAACAAGAGGAAAATTTGCATTTGTTGAGGTACAAATATAGGAGTGTTCCATAAGAGGGGCGTTAATTATTATTAATGGCAAACCCTGCAAATACAAAGTAAAACCCAAATCACTGGTCACATAATTCAAAATTTACATGTAATAAAGGCAAGGCAATAGACTCGAGTTACGGCCTGTCAAATATTTACCCCACTGACGGTATCTACAGAAGCACTTGGCC